TGCTCTCAGGGGAACGGAGGCCTGTGGAAGGAATGCAGGCTCTTGGAAGGTGGAAGCTCTCAGAGGAATGGAGGCTCTTGGAAGGAATGGAGGCTCTTGTAAGGATGGAGTATCTCTTACAGAATCGAGTTCTTGGCAGGAATGAGGATATTGAAAAGACGGAGGCTTGCCGACGGATGAGGGCTCTTGGAAGGACAGAGGTTCTCCATGGGAGCTGGCTCTTGGAGGAATGGGGGCTCTTGGTGGAGCTGGACGAGCTGCAGCAGGGCAGGTGGCCTCGCTCCACCAACTCCTCCAGGTTCTCCCACAACACCTGCCACATCTCAGAATCCAGTGGGAAAGACATCCCATTCCCAACCCACACCAACATGACCAAATCCTGCAGCTCCTGGGCCACTGCCATGCAGGGGGTGCAGCTGGGGCCACAGCCACAGGGGATGTACTCGGGGCTCACAGGAGCATCTGGATGCTGGGGAGCGGTTGCCTGAGCTGTGGAGGAACTGGGAGCCTCCACTGGAGCTACTTGGCTGCTCGGAGAGCCCCTGGCCTGGCTCCCTGGGTTCTTCGGTGTCCCCAGCACCCGCTGTTGCCAGTGGCCGATGGCCAGCCAGACAGCTGCAGTGGCCAGCAGCAGGACAAACAAGGAGAGGAGGATGCTGCCATCGCTCATGGCTCCAACACGGCCCATCGTGACCACACTGGGAGCCGGAGGGTGGTGGCACTTCTTTGTGTAGTGATGTCAGTCCTGTGGGAGAGGACACCTGTGTCATAACATGGCCCTGCCTCACCCCAGTGCTCACCAGGGCTCCATGGGGGAGAAAGGGGCTCCCTGTGGGTACTCGAGGCCCCTCTGGAACAGACTGGATGGAACATTCTCGGCCAAGTAGGACACAGTCATGAGGAGAAGGAGGATGTTGTCACTGCCTCGCTGGCAGAGCATGGGACATGGCTTGTCCCATGGGACACTGAAGAGTCCTTGAAGAGGGCAAGTGCTGCTCAGCAACAACCAAACCATCCAGCTGTTATCCCATCCTGAATCCAAACCCAGTGCTGTGCCAGCTACTATGAAGAAAGCATCCCACCAAAAAGCAATACAGCAGCCAGTTCTTCACCCAGCACACCCTGTACCTGCTCATCTCAAAGCTGGACACCGTCTCCAAAAGGATTCTGTGAGGGACGTGATCAAAACTCCAACTAAAATCCCAAAAAAGAACATGCACTGCCTTCCCATAACACATAAGCCAGGTGACCTTATGCCAGTGGGATTTTTTCTTTCCAGCTGCTTTCCCAGAGATTCATCTTGCTCCATCACCTCCTGAAGGGCCAATTGCAGCAATGGATTCATTTCCCTCTCCCTCCAAACTGCTTCCCATCTAACAGATCCCTATGAGCATTCCTTTTCTGGTTTTTCCTACAAAGCCTTCACTAAGTCTTGCAAAGATCTCACCATTCCACCCTCAGATTTTGCAGTAGCCAGCACCTCCATTTGTGCTGCCATGAGGACCAGGATGGGGTTTCTGACATCACATAGGTGTCCCCACCCACAGTTCTGTAACATCACAGAGGTGTCTCCACACACAGGTGGAACCAATTGTGGGTGGAACTGCAGGAGCTGGTGAAGCGAGGCCACCTGCCCTGCCACAGCTTGTCCAGTTCCTCCAGCTCCTCTGGGAGCCTCCATCCCTCTGAGAGGCTGCTCCCACCAAGAGTCCTCATCCCTTGGAGAGCCTCTGCCCTTCCAAGGAAATCATTCCATCAGAGATCCTCCATCCAGCCAAGAATCTCCCTCTGCTGGAGATCCTCCTTCTTTCTGAGAGCTTCCTTTCCCTCTAAAAGCCTGCATCTTTCCAGAAACCTCCCTTCCTATAAGAGCCTCCATCCTTCCAAAATCCTACAGTCCTCTGAGCATCTTACTTCTTCTGTAAGCATCTGTCTCTCTGGGAGCCTCAGTGAGACCTGCTGGACTCCAGACAAACAAGACCCTGTAGACAGGTCTCCCTGCTCCCTTGGAGCTGCGGGTATCAATAGCAGAACTTGCTCATCCTTGAAGATGCACGTGGCCAGGTGTGGCAGTTTGAGCTACATTAGAAATCTAAAATCCAATTTTTAGGCTTCCCCCACCCCTTCTCAACAATTTATCCTAACACCAGAGAGAAACTTTCAGGCCAGAGGCTTCTCTAGGGGAAGGGGGAAGTATATACATTTATTTACACAAATAAATACTATACAAACTAAAGGCAACTATACATATATATATATTACATTACTATCAGTCAGTCCTTTCAAGCCCCTCCTTTAACTTTAGTCCAGGAGCAGCCTTTAAGGCTGATATGTAACACAGTCTGCCGTGGGAGTGTTCTGGGCTCCTTAACACTCCCTCCTCACCAAGTTCCAGCAGTTGTTTGTTGTAGTCTCTCCTCCTCATGAAGTCCGAGAAGATAGCTTTGAGTCCTTGCTCTCCTGCTGCTGGTGATCTCTCCCTCTCGGTGTCCCACCTCGGTTCATAAACTGCTGCAGTGTAGCTTATCAAGCATACGCATCCTGGAATCTTCATTCCTTTAAGTCAGTTTTTGGCTGCCTCCGGTCAGCTTCGACAGGCAACTCCC